TTTCAAAGATAAGATAACGACAATATAATCATCGATAGACGTTTTTTTCTAAAGCTTTTTCACAATTGCCAATGCTAAGTTTACAGAATATTTATCATCAATTATTAGTTTACCTTGATAAAGGCGTTTTATAGCCACAAAAAATTAATAAATTGTTTTCAATCATTAACAAAAAATGTATGGTCTGAAATTGTTTCTCTCTTCATATATTTTCTTACATAAAATCAATTGATAAAAAGAGTATCACAGAAAATATTCTCTTACCCTAAAATGCTGAAAATTCTATCAGGTTGACCACCATCCTCTAACTTTTTGTGATGACCACCTTTAAAATACATTAGTAGAATACACATTGCAAGACTAAAAATTGCAACCTCCCCATATTTAATTGATTTAACTAAATTTCTTGCAGAGGCCATATTCCACAATGTTTCAGTTGCAACATTACTAACATACAAACTGAGAAGCAATCGTCTGTGAGGTTTCTCAATTTGTATTGCGAACACACTTGAAAGGAATGCAGGAAAAGCTGATACAGTTAAAATGTTGTATCCTCCAAATATTTTCCTAAAATTTAGTGATTTATAACACATGCACAACAGTTAGCTCATTAAATCTCATCAAACCTTAAAGAGCATAAGAAGAGTGAATACCCCAAAGCTGTTCCACTTAAAAAAGCAGTTGATTGAAGAATAGATTTAAATGTTTTTTGTAGTCGCTTCAGTGATGGTACTTTACCTCCCAAAACTAAACCCAGCTTAAAATAAAAATAACAAATTGATATAAACTTCTATTTAAGTATATAAAACATACCATATAAACTGTTAAATAAATTTTGAAAGAACTCATTATTGAATATAAATACACCCCACAGGAAGCTTCAAGACAACTATTTGTCCAAGGGTGCACATATTCTATACAGGATACCTTAGTAGTGGCCAATTTGCTTAAAACTTGAACCATTATTACGAATTTACACCAAATACGAAATTTACACTAAAAAATCCAAGTATACCACAAACACAGTTTAAATACTACTGTCGCAGCACCATCCTTTATAATAAGAATTGATTGATCATTGACTTAAAATAATGCTTACATTGAGAATAGTTCAACATAAAATGACTTCTATTCATTCATTATCAAAAAACACAAAATATAAACTTAACAAATCAACGAAGCAAATTAACCTAATTTCGACATGTTTCAACAGCTGTGTTTTGGTTTATTTCATTACCACGTGACTCCTAATTCCTAACAGTTACCGCACATACCTATTGCATGCGCACACCCTGACCATCATAGACAAGAGAGAAAGCATGCTTGCCCAACATTATGGCTGTCCTGCTCCTAGACTAGAAATAGAAACTCGCGAAATTTTGACGATACTAGTGACATCTAAGTTTACCCTACATTAGTAGACGATACTTGGAATATATATATATAAATGGTACTGGAAAAGAAAACTTCGAATATTCGCTGCCATCTATACATATGACTATGAAGCGTAACTTAAGGCGCGCATTTCAAAATTACACTAAATTTTAATTTTTTTTTGTTTTAATTGGAAATTGAAAAAAAATAACAAAATAATATTAACAAATTTAATAACAAAGTATAAATGCAGTAATAAATACAATTAGCACAATATACGAGTAAATAGCAAAACATCAATTAATTAAAATAATAGATACTAAGACAGGTATGTTTGTATGAACAAAGAAATTATTATTTACCTAATTTAGTACTGCTTCCTACTTCTACAGGGGGTACTAACGTTTCAGAAACTGCAGAAGCTTCTGTATTGTCCGTTGTGAGTGTACTTTCTATAACAAATAATTATATATGTTTTGGATATGATATTTGACTCTATTATCTGCATAACTACCTGCAGTTGAAACAATTCTTCTTTTCCCCTCATATGTTTTCACTGGATGCAGTACTTTTTCGTCTTTTAATGGGGACAATTCCGTCTGACTCCATTCCTCTACCTGAAGAAGTTCTACAAAACATTTTTTTAGAACTTAAGTTTCACAACAACAACAAATTACAATACCTGCCACTTTCGTTGGAACCGCTGTTACTTGAGGAAAATGGAAAGCGGCATCTTGACCTTTAACTCCTGCAGGAACTGCATAATCTAGGTAGAACATTTCATATTAATTTTTGATTCTTTCTTGCAACTGAAACGCTTACAAGGTAAATACAAAGTTGGCACTGCATGGCGTTTTAGTTTCCCATTTGCCCTTTTGCATATGAGGTGGAAATGCCGGCCACACACCCCATAATGGTGTAGACTGTACAGCACGGTTTTTCTGTGTTGGACAGAAAACACCCTTTCAGAAAATCATTACTTTTTGTAAAGCATGATTGAAGTACTTAATACATTACTTACTTTCAGGATACGTAAAAGTACTTCTCATAAAAATTTTAAAATATTACAAGTTGTGAAACTACTCACTATTGCTCAGTATACGCTGGTATACGCTATAACACGGTATGAAATGTCGAGCGCGAGCGACACCTAAGTTTACCCCACGTAAGTTTTTAAATTTTTTAAATTACCAAAATCGACATTACCGACATACATTTTACTGAAACGACAACAGATGATGCGACGGCGGTTGCGATTATCCGAGGAATTCCCCAGTAGTTGTGGCGTTATTGAGCAATAGTGAGTAGTTTCACAATATGTAATATTTTAAAATTTTTGTGAAAAGTACTTTTACCTATCCTGAAAGTAAGTAATATATTAAGTACTTCAATCATGCTTTACAATAAGTAAAGAAAGGATGTTTTCTGCCCAACACAGAAAACCCGTGATGTACAGTCTACACTATTACGGGGTCAAATTAATTTGAAATGTTCTACGTAGATTATACAGTTCCTGCAGGAATTAAAGGTCAAGATGCCGCTTTCCATTTTTTCCAAATGTTTTGTAGAACTTCTTCTGGTAGAGGAATAGAAGCAGACGAAATTGCCCCATTAAAAGATGAAAAAGTACTGCATCCAGTGAAAACATATGACGGGAAAAGAAGAATTGTTTCAACTGCAGGTAGCTATGCAGATAACAGTTTCAAATATCCAAAACATATATAATTATTTGTTACAGAAAGTACACTCACAATGGACAAAACAGAAGCTAGTATTTATGCAGTTTCTGAATCGTTAGCACCCCCTGTAGAAGCAGGAAGCAGTAATAAATTAGGTAAAGAACAATTTCTTTGTTCATACAAATATACCTGTATTAGTATCTATATTTTAATTAATTGATGTTTGCTATTTATTCGTCTGTTGTGCTAATTATATTTATTACTGCATTTATCGTCGTGTCATCTGTTATCGTTTCACTAAAATGTATGTCGGTAATGACGATTTTGATAATTTAAAAAAACTTCCGTGGGGTAAACTTGGATGTCGCTGACGCTCGACATTTCATACCTTGCATTTCATACCCTGACTAGCAGTAGTATTTGGCCCTGCTCGAATTCTTGCTGTCAATCCTAGACTAGGTAAATAGATGTAAAACTCTCGAGATTTGGACAATAGTAGTGACATCTAAGTTTACCCCACATTAGTAGACGACACTTGGAATATATATATAAATGGTATTGGCAAAGAAAACTTCGAATTTCACTGCCATCTATACATCACACTATGAAGCGTAACCAAAGGCGCGCTTTTCAAAATTACACCAAATTTTATTTTTTTTTGTTTCAAATGGAAATTGAAAAAAAAACAAAAATAAAATTAANTATAATTTTATTACGGTGGCTATGTTGTGTGAAAAAAAGAAAAACGCAACAAAATGTACAAAACATTTTTTGAAACCACCATAATTAAATTCTCGAATAACACAATAAAATCCGAACAATTACATAATAACAATAAGCACCATTTATCTTATCAAATATCTATGTAGCTACGTTAGAAAATGTATAAGTAAAACCGTACATTTTACCTTTATGAAAATAGCAGTAGCTCTTAGACACAACATAATTTATATCTACTGCACCAAAGTTGTTGCAAGTATATATTTATAAAACCTAATGTTTTGAGCAAAATAAGATTAATTAATTAATTAATAACAGAAAAAACTAGCGCTCATTGAGCGAAAAATTTAAATATGTATAAGAAAACTAGTTACATTTTAAAACTCTGCACTATATAATCGAATATATAAATACAGTGATATAAAGCTATTTAGTTAAATAATTCAGTCTACAATGGGAACAACTGATATTTTTTTGTCATGCTATACCTTTACCATGGTGTCTTGTATGCCAACCATTTCTCAGCGCTTTTCAAATACGTTTCGATCACATTTGCTTTTTAAATAATACAAGTATAAGAAGACTCAAAACAATAACAATCATATATAAAATTTAACTACAGGTTTCGTTCCATATTTTTTGATTACGCTAGCCAGAGAATCTGATGTTCCAAGACCCCAGACATCTAAAGGTTTACGATTCATACTAGCAATTCTGAAAATTTCATTCCTAATTATCTTCAGAAAAAAAATGTATATTGCATCTTACAATTAAAACACTTCTTTACTATAGATATAATTAATTACTTTGCGAGAATGTCCAAATAAAAACTAATCAATAAAATTAAAAATTAGTTTATGAATATGAAAATAAAACAAAACAGCTGGAGTTATGTATAAAAAAATTGACAAAAAGTACCGTATTAGATATAGCATAGACACGGGAATTTGGAGGTAATTTCAGAAGAATGATGATGTTTAATATAATAATAAAACGAAGATCTAAAGAAACTATGAACATTAAAACGTGAAGAGAAAAATAAGAAACAAAAAATATTTACCAATTTAGCAATTAAACAAAAACGAAAAATATGCTTTGAATTCACGCTTAAATTAAATTTCTTACCTTCCACCAGAGAGAGAATACAAAAATTTCCAGTAACTCGGCCTAAGATTGGTTGGTTCTAAAATAGCTGCATGAAATAATATTGCCGTGCTAAGACAATATAAAAATGCTGTAAATCCAGGTACATCTGGCAGAATGCCCTTTTCAACCCCTAATGAATACGTCATCTGTAAAAGTAATTAAAAAAGTATGTATATGTAAATAAAATACAAATAAAGTAATACAAAATTAGACTTTGTATAAATAATAAACGGAAATTAGCAATTGTATTGGGACAAGTAGAATTAGGATAATATAAACCAAAATTACCGATTTTGTCAAGTTAAAAAATGTTATACTTAATATGCAATAAATATGCATCATTGACAAAATAAGCATAAATGCAAACATAAACCACTAATACTTGGTACCCATTAAAAAACAGTAACAAATATTAAGGAAATTACTTATATCCAGAAAATTTTGAACAGCGAATTCCAAACCATTTTTTAAATCATTGTATCCATTTCTTACTAACTGTAAATTGTTTATATTTTCCACTAACAATTAAATTTTAATCTGGCTGATCAAGAAACCACATGTATTTTTCTACACTGAGAAACTCCAAACTCTAAGTTTTTTCTTTCACCTAGTCCGGCATTAATGTATTTCTCACAGCGTTACAGATTAGTCCCTATTTTTGTTTTTATCTTTTTATCTTACAAATTGTAGATTTCTCCCGTATGTATTAATAAGTATAAAAATTACTGAACCCATAGACATACACAAGCACAAATAGCACAACCGTTAACAACAAACAATGTACCTATCTCTCTATAGATAATGTAATACGACTGGGAAAGTAACTATAAAATATATATATCGAAAACAATACAAATGGCGCAGTAAACGCCATTTGTAGCACGATGCTACATTTTAGGATTACGTATGCGTATAATGCAGACCACTTCGAATTATTTTATATATATCGAAACTTTACAACAATGACAAAACAGCAATTACGAAATAACGATTTTTAGAGTCAATGTGTAAGGTGATTTATAATTAGGGTTATAATTAATATGCTGGTCACATTATGCGCTCTTTTCGTTATGCGAAGTTCTCACTGTCACGATTCTACTGTACAAATACTTACAATCGGAAAATGTAATTTTAATACTGACCTGTGCCATCTTCCACATAATATAAAGTGCAATAGTCGTGTCAGAATATTGAGAAAATGCGATACCACCTATTAATCCAGCTGGTATGGCATGATAGCAGCTATCTTTTCCTGTTATATGACGCATTAAACAGCAGACAGCCTAACAACAAAAACGTCCTTGATTTTTTTTATTTTCAATTTAATGAAAAACAAACCCTGAAGAGTCCACAGTATCCTCCCAAGGCAGTAGCTAAAGATATGGTTCTTTTGTTAAAAAATACTTTTTTAAACGAAGACGGGGACATTATTAACTGTTTTAAATTCATTGTCAATCTCAACGCTAATTGGATTCCTAAACCAACAGTAAACATTTTACTCGTTCCCTAAAAAAACAATTAAATTATACCATAATAGCTGCCTTTGAAAGAAATGGTTTTCAAATTTACAAATATGTAGTAGAAACAAGAATAATGCATATCATAATTTAAGAATATAATGCTGTAACTGCTTGTATTTCTTTTTTCTGGTTTTACTAAATAAATAAATTATTTCTGGTTACTTACCATTTCCTTGTCGTAAANAACTGTTTTAAATTCATTGTCAATCTCAACGCTAATTGGATTCCTAAACCAACAGTAAACATTTTACTCGTTCCCTAAAAAAACAATTAAATTATACCATAATAGCTGCCTTTGAAAGAAATGGTTTTCAAATTTACAAATATGTAGTAGAAACAAGAATAATGCATATCATAATTTAAGAATATTTTTCGTAAGTAGCTACAGATAGTATTTGTAATAAATATGTATCATTCTTGCTTAGCAATAATAGGTAAAACAAAAGCCCGAAGATATCTTTTAATACGATCAGACAATATAAAATAAAAAGGCATCTAATTAAAAAGATGAGTCAAGTTAAACCTAATACACCAAATAATAAAAAATTACGTGTTTGATAACAGACAACCCGAATTCGTGTGCACTGTGTACACTGTCCTTTATTCTATTTTATATATGTACGTGTACAAAAAGGCAAACGAAATAAGTACGGTGACTACATCTATAACAAATATAACGAAACAATGCCGAAATTCCATAATCAAAAGTCAATTCCAAAAATAGTGCGTAAATAGGAATGAACGATTGTATAGTAATTTCAAAGTAAATAAAGTTAAAGATATGAGAATTTGTGAGATGGCTTATAATTAGATACATAAAATATAATTGATTGCTGTGGAACGTAACTAAATACACTTAAAACCCGAAATTCCACAAAACGTCTAGCAACTAAAACGAGTTTCGATACTCAAGATGTAATCCTCAGTTTGAGACTCGGTTTTAGGTTTCTAAAAATTTTATGTAATTTCAGGTTTTTAAGAGTTTATGATTAGACAGAAAGAAAAAACAACTTCAACGTTTTTCTAAATCAACCCATAGAGAGCTAGTTATATTATGAAAACTTTGAAGTACCTAAATAAAGTTAGTGACAAAAATTGGTATTTAATATTTTTGTTAGATAGAAGCAAACCACTCAACTTTTTTTGAAAATCAATTTCAAAATAACAATAATTACAATTTGTATTAAGATCCTCTTACAGGAATGAAGAAATACGTTTTCCATCGTTCTTAGAAAATTATCCCACGAAGGGTGATTGGTCGTCTCATGAAGTATCGCACTAGATGATAATATGATATACATATAACCGACTAGTTACTGTCTTAATTTCCAAGTATAATGTCGTAATTTAAAAAAATCAAAACTTAACCAATTACGAACCTGAACTGTATAGAATAGACAGCTAAATGGATGAGGACAAGAATGATGCCTTCCAGAGCATTTTATTGCATGCACAATTCTTTTATAACAATATAACGCTTGGATAACAAGGTGATATATGCTATTTTTTCGATGTTTTCTTTGATATCTCCAGCTACTACCTCCCCCCACTGTAGGATCATTTGGCACAGCCTGTTGTCTAATAAACGTATTTGCATTACTTGATCGCGTTGTATAATCCTTCTCTTCATAAGGACCCACTATAAATCTTCAACAATTAAAAATCAATAAACATTTTAACAATCAAAACTGATACTCTTTCTATCAATGAAAATGCTCGATCGACGTTTTAGCAATCCCCTAAGATTGTGAAAATTGCCGTAACAACCTCACTATCTAGAAAGGATTTTACCCTTAACAGGTAAACTGTTTGTATGTACCGATTCCCCAGATTTCACATTTTCAAATAAACTCTTACAAGTACAACAAGAATGAGGCTCCTTATTTTTTCTGAATTACAAAAAAAATCTATTTCTATTTCTATTTACCTTAATGTTGTACACCATATATTTTGAGAATTTTTAAATAGGAAATCAATTAAAATTATACAACAGCACCTCATTTACATTTTGATTTTAACTAAATTCAACACTCGTATAGATAGCTGCCTTTTAAAAACTGTAATTTCAGTTAGTAAGGGCACCTTTAAGTTTTACATGTATAACACAAAATGAAATACAAAATTTTACTAGAATGGATTGTTAATACTAATAAAGAATAAATGCAATAAATTATATTATAGAAGTAAAAATTATTTAAATCCATTTC